GTTTCAATTCCCTGTTCGGTCAGATAGAAACTGAGGAGTTTTCCTGCCTTAACCCCGAAGGTGCATTTCTCAAGGTTGAATCTCATTTTGCATTGTCTCGCTTGGGCGAAGACTCTTTTGAGGTAGGCAGCATGGTCGGTTTCTGTTCGAGATTTGATGATCATGTCATCCATGTATACCTCGAGTATATCTCTAATTTCGTTATGAAAGACTTTGTTCATCATCCGCTAGTATGTCACCCCTGCGTTCTTTAGGCCGAAAGGCATTACGTTGTAGTAGTAGTTACATGAGTTGGTCATGAAAGCGGTGTAATTCTTGTCGCTCATCGCCATTGGAATTTGGTTGTAGCCTGAGTAGGCGTCCATAAACGATAAAATTTTATAGCCGACCGAGTTGTCGACTAGTATACCAATGTTAGGTAAAGGAAAATCATCTTTAGGACATGCCCGATTAAGATCAGTATAATCAACACACATTCTCCCTTTTCCATTATTCTTTTCAACAAGTACAACATCTGATAGTCGGGTTGAATATCGGGCCCCAGAAATAAAATTTGCCTCTAGGAGGTCTTTTACAGCATTTTGAGCAGCCTCCGCTTTCTCGGGAGACTGCCTACGTCTAAGTTGAACTACGGCCCTAGCGTCTAGATCAATGGCAAGTTGGTGACAGGAGACCTCGGGGTTGAGTCCGGGCATCTCGGCAGCACTCCATGTGAACATGTTTGTGTTCTCCCTCAAGCAAGCTTTGAGCTGCCTCCTCTCCAAGTCAGGGAGTCCAGTGCCGATCTTCACGCCTTTGTGAGGGTCTTCCCCAAGGGGGATGAACTCGAAATATCTGTCTGTAATGGGTCAGAGAAGTTCTTGTTCGCTGTTGGGGGCTTCGGCTTCGTCTTTGTCGAAGAGGGTGTCAAGCGATATGGAGTTGACCTTTGGTGGAGCCCTTTGTTCTTCTGTCTGAGCAGGACGCGATTCAGGTCGAGTAGTGGTAGCTCTTTTGGCAGGTCGTGCTCCAGTGTCGACCGTGCTCTACGCTTTGGAAGTCGCATGAAAACATCTTCTAGCAGCTGAGATGTCCCCGTGAATGATGGTGACGCGCCCTCTCTGGGTGTAGAACTTCATCTTCAAATGGGCAGTGGAGGGCACGGCGGTCAACTCATCCAGTGTCGGTCTCCCTAGGATGCAGTTGTAGAGAGATGAGAAGTCGATCACCAGAAACCGCACCTTGATTTGTCGCGATGCAGTTTCTTCCTCGAATGTGACAAAAAGCTCGATGTAGCCCCATGGTTTGGAGGTCGAGCCGTTGAAGCCTTGTAGGTCGGACCCCATGTATAGTGACAGGTGGGTGTCGTCGAGATGTAAGGTTCGAAACAGATGATTGTACATGACATCTACGGAACTCCCCTTGTCGACCAGAATACGATGCACGTCGAAGTTAGCCATCCTTGCCCTCACCGATAGAGGGATGCTCGAGTTAGGAGACCCGTCGGGCAACTCCTTCAGGTAAAAAGTGATTGGTTCGAATTTTCCTTTGAAACTCTCGAGCATCACCGTTTGAGTTGGGGCTGCGTCCAGCAACTCGTCGACCTTCCTCTTCACAGTTTACGGAGAAGTCGTTGAATCCCCCGTCAGTTATAACCATGGCGAAGGGGAATTTCTCCCATCTACTATGCATGGACAAAGGTTCGTCCTCGTATTTGTCGGGGATGTAGAAGTCCTTCGGCCTTGTCACGGAGAAAGCTAGCTGGATGGGGGCTGACTCATCTGATGGTCGGGTTTCTTCCTCGGCTTCTTTCACCTCGCGAATGTCTCGGTGAGGGGCGTCATTGCATCGGTATTGTCCGAGTCTGCCACCCTTGATGAGGGATTCGATGGCATCCTTGAGGTGGACACAGTCTTCTATCAGGTGCCAGTGACTTCGATGGTACTGACAGTATTTTGTCCTGTCAGCCCCGGGCTTTGTAGGAGCAGATCGAGGACGTCTGACGCCACTGTCCTTGAAGTCGGTATTAGAGCATTCTGCCAGGATGCGCTCGCGGGAAGCGGTCAGCGGAGTGTAGTATGTGAATTGTCCTGCGGGTCCCCTGTGCTCGCGGAGATCACGCGGTTTATCATCCCTTCTCTTCTCATTCGTCTGTCGAGAAGGACCTGCGTCCTGGTGTCGCGGGATGTTAGCTGGTCCACGATTCCTTGAGTCGTGAGATTTATTTGCTGCTTCATTCTCTTTGTAGTCTATGTGGGCTCTGTCCTTTTTGAGGAGAGCGTCGAAAGACCGGGGTGGTTCGATGGCGACGACCTTTCTGAACTCAGTGTTCGGGAGGAGTCCTCTCTCGAGCAGGTACTTTTCATGTGATCGGTACACGAGACTAGAATGGCCTCTTAGTTGAACTGATCAATGTATTCCCTGAGGGTCTCGTCGCTTCTCTGGACGATAGCCTCAAGGGAGACCTCAATCTTCGGGTGTCGATGAGATGCAGTGAAGGAGCTGATGAACTGGTTCTTGAGGTTTCTCCAGGAGGTGATCGACCCTGGGGCAAGGTTCTTGTACCAGTCCATGGCTGTTTTTCTCAAGGTCGTGGAGAACAACCGACATTTGATCGGTCCCCCGACATTATGGTAATGGAGCTTGAACCCATTGATGTGGTCGACAAGATCCGCAATGCCATTGTATTCCTTCAGTTGGGGAGGTTTTCCATTCCTCTAGGAATGGACGCCTCCATGATATCATAGGATAAGAGACCGCGGGGGTCATCTTCATCGCTTCTGTATGAGGAGCGGGACCAATTGTAATTGCGGTCGTAGTGACATCGCTGGACTCGGGGAGGATCCCTTGGCCGAGGTTGTGTTTTTCTATTTCCCCTGTTTTTGTTTTCAGGGGATCGTCGTTTCCTGTGCACGGGGGTGAGGCCGCGTCTCCCGGTGACTTCGGGTAGTGTTCTCTCTAACGCGGGGCCTCACCCAGTCCATCAGGGAGAAAGGCTTCGCGATGTGTCCCGCATGTGTCTCTGCGGGGGAGATTGAGGACGGTCTTCGTTCTGACGGGGAGGAGGAGTGTCAGGTCTCCTGTATCTCATGGGGGCCCGGGGAGTCTGTTTGAGCGTCCTTAACTGCTCACCCTGTAGGAATATCAAGTAATTTGTCTAGTTGATGGCTGCGAACAGAGCTCTGGTCGTGGCATCAGCGCCCGCGGGGACGGGGACCTCCTGGAAAGCATTTGGTTCATAGTTCTAGGGGGGATGGACATCCTCATGTGGTCGAGATTGGGACGACGAAGAGGCGGTCAGCCCGTCTCTATAGTTCTGCTTGAGACCAGCCATGTCGTTCCCGCGTTGTTATTACCAATATTGTCGTCGGTGTTATTGTTGAGGTCGGTGAGATGGGCGTTTTGGTTATTGTTGGGCGCTTAGTCGGCCATGACAATCAGAGTTTGATGGAGAGTTGCTTTAGTCTTGAGATGAAGACGGGGAAGCTGATTTCCCACAGACGGCGCCACTGATCGTACCTGATCAGAAGGGAATATCAAAGCTCACAAGCTTCGAGCTGAGCAGCGGTTAGATGTGAAGTGGGGGGGGGGGATACCTGCAAGATACTCTGATGCCAAAATGAGGTTCAGAGTAATGCAAACAAGTATGAGAGTGAGTATGAAAGAATAAATACCTGACTCTCTAAAGTGTGAGGGTATTTATAGCCCCAACGTTGGGCCAAGATCCCCATCGTTGGCTAGGCAAGCAGGCTCAAAATGAAGACTGTCAGGTCTTACGTGTGGATATGGATGCGGTCTTTTCGGGATCAAGAGGACTCCGTGATATTCGAAGGTGTTGAGAGTCAGCCCTACGAGGAGGATGCTCGTGAGATACTTTTGTACGTCATGGACCCTCCTCGTCAACTGTGTAGTTGTCCCCGAAGAACTTGTCTTGGTCGACAAGAAGAGTGGAGTATGCTTGCAAGGCCCTCCTGATCGTATTCGATCCTCCTTGCCATTCCTAGAGTTGTCCATGTAAGGCAAAGTCATGTCGACCTGAAGAACGAGGTTACTACATGAGCTAGTCGAGGACAACCGTCGTTAGCAGACTATCCCATGTAGTAGAGTTAAATTGGGCCTTGTATGAGACCCAATCCAAAACAAAAATTAAATGTTATTTTTAAAATTTAAAAAAAAAGTGTATTAACAACATCATTCTTTTTATTAAAAATGTGTTTCATGTTTGACAAATATTAGTATCTAATTTATTTATGTGTGATTACGTTCTATTTTATTTTTTAAAATTATTGATGTGAATGGATCATCATGTAATTGTTACACTTACAACTTAATCAATAATAATGGTTAGATTATTAGTCGTGTTAACTAAATAAAGATTCATATTTAATTACAGTTTAATTATGATAAATATTTCATAAAATTTTATTTAAACAAATCTTAAATCATTTGCCCGCTTTATACAAACTCAAAGATGATCCGAATTAAATCATTAGATATTATTTATGGTTTTTAACACGTGACATAACGGCATTAGTTAACATTATTCTATATTTATTTTTAAAGTTATATCTACGAAAGATTATGATATGTTGATACTATAACAAACTCAATTAAATAAACATGAATTAAATATTTAAGCAATACTATATTTAATAAAAAAATAAAACAGTATTTTACCTAAAATAATACAAAACAATAAAAATTATTTTTTAAAAAGAAAATAACGTAACTTACACGGCATTGGAAAAAAAAGCAACATCATGTCCACATACATACCATACGACTCACCTGGACACACACAAGGCTCCTTTAAAAATCCCCAACGCGATATAAACCAAACAAACAAAACACGTTTCTGAAAACTTCTTCCATTGAATATTCTTTTCTTTAACCCTTTCCTTCAATTCCAGATTCTCTTTCATGTTTTCTACATAATAACCTCTCGAATAACTCAATTCTCCGTAACCCGTAATTTTCTATAAATCTTCTTTTTCGTTTTTTAGGGTTTCGAAATCTCATCAATGGCGGAAGAACACAGATTGCAAGCACCGCGATTATGCGTCAACAATTGTGGATTCTTCGGAAGCACCGCCACGGAGAATCTCTGTTCACGGTGCTATCGAGATTTACAGCTTAAGGAACAACAAGCTGAATCAGCGAAACTCGTTCTCAATCAATCGATCTCGGTGCCGGCGAAGGAGGATTTGGTTTCGGAACCGTCGTCTTCGTCGCCGGATCCGGTTGATTTGCCTAGCGTTGTTGAAGAGGCGAAGGCGAAACCGTTGCAGCAGAATCGGTGTATGACGTGTAAGAAGCGCGTGGGGCTCACGGGATTTAAGTGCAAGTGCGGGATGATGCTGTGTGGGACCCACCGGTATCCGGAGCAGCATGGTTGTGAGTTTGATTTCAAGGGGCTGGGGAGAGAGCAGATCGCGAAGGCGAACCCAGTGGTGAAGGGTGAGAAACTCCAGAAGATTTGAGAAGAAAAGAAGGGTATTATTGTCATCTCGGGTGTTTATTAATCGGATGTGGGGTTCGGGTCGGTCATTAGGTCCGTTTATTGGTTAGGTCGGTGGGTGGTAGTGTGGCGGTTGGGTGGGTCATTGTTAGCTGGTTGCTTGATTATTATTGTAGAAAATTACATTTAAATGCATTTTAATTCTCATATTTACGTTCGGTTAAAAAGAATTGTCATATTTACATTTACCTTGGTCATAAAAATAATAATAGACAAAATTACATAAGTCGGAGTAATTATTTTAAGTTTTAACATTTCTTTTTGATTGTTTTTTATGATTAAAATATATTGAAATCTTATTAATTAAAGTGGTTAAACTTAGAAATTTTTCCACTTAGAAATTTTTTTGAATTAGAATTAAGGTTAATTTAATAATTATTAATATTAATTTACTTTATATTTTATATCTTTTTAGTTCAATATCACGTTTTATTGTTTTCAAAATAATTTTCTACATTTTAATTTTAAAATTATTAATTATTTTTTATTAAAAAATTGTAATTCCACGTTTCATTTTTCTTTTATCTTTTTTAATTTTAATATCACGTTTTTATTATTATTTTAGATTAATCAATTATAGATATTTTAACGTAAACTTTTCACATTTATGAATTTTTAAATGCTAATTTTTTACATTTAATAAATTTTCAAAAATACTAACTTATCACATTTTAAATAAATTTAAATGATATTTATATTTATTCAATTAATCAAAGACTAAATAATTGTAATCTCACATTTCATATTTTATTTTTTTATTAATCAAATATTTTATTTTTAAATCCTTTTTTTTTTTAATTTTATTTATTATTTATTTTTGTTAATAAAAAATTTTAATATCATGTTTCATTATTTCCAAAATATTCTCATATTTTAGTTTAAAAAATATTTTTTATTTTTTATTAAAAAAATTGCAATCTCACGTTTCATGTTTTTTTATTTTATCTTTTTTTTTTAAAAAATTTAAATATTAGGTTTCATTTTTATTTTTTAATTAATCAAATATGTATTTTTAAATGTTAATTTTCCACATTTCATAGATTTGAGTAGATTTAGATGATATTTATATTTGTTTAATTAATTAAATATTAAATAATTTTAATCTCACTTATTTAATTTTTTTTAATTAATCAGATATATTTTTTTTTAAATCATAACTTCTTAAGTTTCATGGATTTGAATAGATTTAAATGGTATTTGTAAATTTTAATTAATTAAGTATTAAATAATAAATATTTTCAAAATAACTTTTCAATATATTAGAATAAGATGGAGGAAAATCAGCTGATGCAAAGAACTAAAATAGACTGGATTCGTTTAGGTGATAGGGATAATGTTTTTTTTCATGCCTACTTGAAAACTAAGCAAAGAACCAAGAGTATGAAAGAAATTCAGAAAATAGATGGTATAATTCTCACTTCTCCGAAGGAAATTGCTCAGGAGGTGATTGATTTCTATGATAATCTTATGGACTATGAAAGTGACAATCTCCAGCATGTTGATATTGAAGCTTTAAGGGTTGGGAACTAACTAAGCATGGGCCAGAGAGAAGACTTGGTGAGACCAATTACTTTAAAGAAAATTGAGGATGTTATTCATGGTATTAGGGATTTAAAGTCTCCTGGAGCAAATGGTTACAACTAAAGGTTCTTTAAGTCTTGTTGGAATATTGTGAAAGAGGATGTGGTTAGTGCAACTCAGGAACTCTTTGCACAAGAGAGGTTGTTCATTCCTTTCAATTAAACTGTGATAACCCTAATTCCAAAGAATGAGAAAGCTAAATCTGTCAAAGATTATCGTCCAATAGTAGGGTGCACAGCCTTTTACAAGATCATCACAAAGGTCCTTACAGCCAGAAGGGCAAAGGTGCTTCCCAGTGTGGCCAGTCTCTCTCAGGCTGCATTTGTTCCAGGTCCGGTGATACATAACCACATAATGCTTGCTTATCAGTTGCTAAAGGGCTATGGGAGAAAAATGAGGGGGGGGGGGGGGGGGGGGGGGGGGGGGCTCTAAGGCTTGACCTGCAAAAAGCGTATGATATAGTGGACTGGTATGCTCTGGAGATAATTCTTAAGGAGCTTGGTTTTCCTGGCAAATTTATAAAGTGGATTATGACTGTGGTTAAAACTGTTACTTACAACTTTAATGTAAATGGGGATCTAACTGATGTGCAGGCTAGAAGAGGCATTCGCCAAGGGGACCCAAATTCCCTATTACTTTTTGTGGTGATGATGGAATACCTTAATGGGCTATTGGTTAAAATGCAAATGAATTCCAATTTCAATCATCATGCTAAATGGGGGGGGGGGGGGGGGGGGGGGATTCTCTAAGGCTTGACCTGCAAAAAGCGTATGATATAGTGGACTGGTATGCTCTGGAGATAATTCTTAAGGAGCTTGGTTTTCCTGGCAAATTTATAAAGTGGATTATGACTGTGGTTAAAACTGTTACTTACAACTTTAATGTAAATGGGGATCTAACTGATGTGCAGGCTAGAAGAGGCATTCGCCAAGGGGACCCAAATTCCCTATTACTTTTTGTGGTGATGATGGAATACCTTAATGGGCTATTGGTTAAAATGCAAATGAATTCCAATTTCAATCATCATGCTAAATGTGAGAAATTGGGAATCACTCATCTTACATTTCCAGACGATGTGCTTATGTTTTCCAGGGGAGATATAATGTCAATGGAAATAATGCTGCAAGTGATCAATAAATTCTCTATTACTACTGACCTGTTGGTGAATCCAAGTAAATGTAAAATTTACTTTGGTGGAGTGGATGGAGATACTAAGAAGAAGATTCATGACATGTCTACTTATGGAGAGGGTCAGTTACCTGTGAGATATTTTGGGGTGCCACTTACTAGTAAAAAGCTCAATATCAATCACTATCTTCCTCTCATTGATAAGATTATGGCCAGGATCAGACACTGGACATATAAGCTCCTTAGTATAGCAGGTAGAGTTCAAATGGTTAAGTGCACTGTAACTGCTATAATTCAGTATTGGATGCATTGTTTACCAATTCCAAAAAGTGTCATAAAGAAGATTGATAACATGTGTAGAAGTTTTGTGTGGACTGGAAGCTCTGAAGCTAGTAGTAAAAGCCATATTGCCTAGAAATCAGTGTTGTAGACCTAAAGCTCAAGGGGGGCTCAATATTGTCAACCTGGTCGTTTGGAATAAATTTGTTATGCTCAAGTGTTTATGGAATTTGTGTAAGAAATCTGATAACTTTTAGGTGAAATGGATTCACATTCATTATATGAAAGGTAAGTTTGTTATGGAGGCAGTGGTAAACACGAGCACCTCTTGGGTGATGAAAAGTGTTTTAAGACAAAAGGAGACTATCAGTAGGTTGCAGACTGTGTGGGACACCAAGCTGAGAAAGGATAGATTTAGCATGAATGAGATATATGTAAAAATGCTAAAAGATAACAATAAAGTGCATTGGAGGTATCTCATCAATAGAAATAGTGTCATACCTAGAGCTGTCCATACTACATAGATGGCTTGCCATGGAAGACTTGGAACAAAAGATAGATTGACTAAATTTGGTCTAATAACCGATATAAATTGCATCTTATGTAATGAGACAGATGAAAATCTAGATCACTTGTTGTTTGATTGCAGGGTGTCGAAGGAAATTTGGAAATGTTTTTTGGATTGGATTGGTATCACTCATGAGCCGAAGGCGTGGGCAGAAGAGCTTGACTTGATTATGAAGATGATTGCGAGGAAAGGCTCGAGATTTAATTTGCTTAAGCTAGCTTTCAGCGAAACAATTCATGGAATCTAGTTATTTAGAAATGATAAGATTTTTGGGGAGAACGTTCATAAAAATTCTAACGTAGAAATTAAAGATAGAATCATAAATACTATAATATATAGAGGTTGGAGATCGATGAAGCTGAGAAAACATATTGCTTCTTTGTTGGTATAGGTTTTATTTGGCCGAGCACCATCGATCGTTTGTCCTTCTGGACCAGTACTGACCCACGACAATCGACGGGCGCCTCTCAGTTTTCCCGACCTCAAGTCAACTAGACAACCAGGAACCGATCAGACCGTTGCGCGTAACCTACCTCCTCCTTAGAACTAACGGCTAGTTGCGGGAACACCTGCCCGATTTGACTAAGTCCTAGCAGTCACCTATTTTTGTGGACCCGCATATCTAGGTCCAAAAATAGGGATAAATGGCCAAGCGTCAGGGGCACTATGTAAACCCTCACTCATGTGAGGGCCAGGTATCAAATATTGACTATTCATCACTAAAACCCTAATATTTTGCTTGTATCTCTTTTTGCTCCCACACTTACTTGATCGTCAGAGTGTCTTGCTGGTATAACCCCCTTTTTCCTCATTTACTTTCTAGCCCGTCTGAAGATCATCATCCGGCCATCTTGCAGGTTTTGATCAATCGTTAATATCAATGGCGCCATTTGTGAGAAACTATCTTCCCCGTTTTTTATTCCCAGAATCTGAAGACCAAAGATCCCCTCCATTCATCAATCATGGCTGATCACGGTGATCACCACCTATCTGGAAAAGACTATGCTCTCCCCAGCATGAAAGACCAACAGAAGCCAAGAACATCTTCACCTCAAGGATAACTTCGGCGCCTGTGACGGACATACTGCATCTCCAGATTCCATCGATGCTGATTGCGACAACAATCTATTCTTGGACGAACAATTTTCCAATAACCCTGTCAAGTACCACCTGAAGATTCTACAACTGGTCCCACTTCTGTAGAACTCCGACCCAGCCATAGCAGCACTGATCGTTGCCCTTAACTGAACCAACTCCCTCATCCTCCAACATAGCAAAAGGATGGGGGCTCTGGAGCGGAAATAGTCAAAGTATTCCCTTCAGAGACACCGACGACATAACTCATCCAACATATCACCTCCCTGAGAGAGGCGTCCTCCAAAAAAGGAAAGGCTCGATGTTTCTTT